CCAGGAGTGCGGGGAGGTCAGCCGGCCCTCGGCGGGGTGGGCACCCTCCGCACCACCCCTTGTCCTGTCACTTCCTGGCCCTCCCCAGGTGCCCCAGGCCTCCTCCAAAACTCTAGCACCGAGAAAACCTGAGGCCATCAGTCACACTGCTCCTCAACGTGGTCCCGGAAGGCGTGACCCACCAGCAGCCCCATCATCCTCCCTGCCCTCCTGCCCAGGCAGTGGGATCCTAACCCCGCCCCCCCACTAAGCCCCACCTCCCGGTCCCTGGCCTCTATCTTCGAGACCTTCATCTCCCTTCCTGCCTCTTCTTCTGGCTCCTTTAATAAGCTCCTATCTCTCTTCAGAATTTTCCCTCTCAAGTAGGGGGTTATTAATCAACTCATTCGCACTATCATTCAAGTAACCTCCCTGGGCCCCATCGCTGAACTGGGTGCTGGGGCAGGCGGATGGCTCAGCAGCCAGCCCTGACTATGAGAAGCACCCAGGCCAGGGGAACACAGAGCCCCAGCTCCTGAGGATGAGAATACCCATGAGAGACCAGGCCCGGGAGCTGGGATGGGCCGAGTGCTCAGGGGGAGGCTTCCGGGAGGAGGCGGTTGGGTCAAGACGGACAAGGAGGCTTCGGACAGCTGGAGCTTGTGGCGGCTAGGAGGAGGCACCTGCCCCTGCCTCCAGCCAGAACTCCCTTTCCCCGCAGGAGAGCGTGAACCGGCTGCACGCACAGATGCAGGCCTTCGTGTCTGAGAGTCAGAGGGCGGCTGAACTGGAGGAGAAGAGACGCTATCGGTTCCTGGCGGAGAAGCACCTGCTGCTGTCCAATACCTTCCTACAGTTCTTTGGCCGGGTGAGTTGGGGAGCGCAGCTGAGGGGCCCTTTGGGGGACTATGCTCTCCGTGAGCTGGCCGCATGCAGGAATGTCCCTCCCTTCCTCCCTTTCCCTTCTTTTCCTTCCTTGCCAGGCATTTATTTCACATCTTTACTCTCTCCATCTGTTTCTTCGTTTACATGTTCCTGTGTTTATTTGTATCATCAGATGTTCACTAATTTATTTATTCATGATTTTGTTTATTAGCGAATTCATTCACTAGTCCCTGCATGGATTCATTCACGTGTGAACCATTTATTTTCTCAT